GACCTACATTAGCGTCGATCCTTAGACATTCCGCCGTCGCCTCCTCGGCCGGGAACCCCCTCTCCACGGGGGCCACCCGGCCCCTCCTCTAAGCTTGTCAGCTCAGGACCGCGAGGGGCACAAGCCAGCGGGCATGTCTCAGGATCAGCATCCGTCAATTCCGCGCACAGCTTGACACGCGACAAGAAGAAATCTTCCATATCATATTCCATCACTGCTCCTTTCTTTTGCGGCCCTGGTACATAAGGCTTTTTGGGTTCCTCATCCTCAGCGCCGCTGACATAGTCATGGGTCATCTCCGCCGGTCCAGCGGGCGAAGCAGCTGAGGTTCTCGCTCTTCGAAGCCTGCGTAGCAGGCTGACGCGGGGCTGCCGATTGCACGTCCCCCCCCGGACAACCGTCATCGTCGCCCGAGGATTGATAGAACGGCAGCGTCGCAATATTCCTGGGGCACATGGTGCCCCCCAGAAATTCGGCATAGATCTTATCGTGGCCGATTTCGCGTGGGTTCGATCGATCCTCAAACATCTTCGCGCGCGTCGTAATCCATGGGCCGAACAACTGTTCTCCAATCAGGCCCAGACGGTAGCGACGGCCTGAAATGTCTCGCATCGGCATCGCAGCGTACCCAAACGCTCTGCCCTGGCGGCGCGGGATACGACCCTTTGGCATACACCAGGGTTTCGAAGCAGCGGTAACCCCCTCGCCGTTCGCTGCCTCATGCTCAGTAACCGGTCTGGCAACGCAGGCAACGCTGAACACATCCGCGACCCATTTGGACGGAACAGTGAATGGATTTGACTCATCACATCGATCGCAATTGTCTGTGAACGGATTATAGCATGGTCGTGCTCCCGGCCCCTTCTCCCGGCGCCGATAACTGCCCGCATCTTGCAACCTCAGAGGCACGCGAGGAACGCAGCGCCTACCGGCAGCCGCTGCGCGGGCCAAGTCCACGGTGTTCCCTGCAGTCTTAGTTCCAGGGTCGGTATCGAGATCGGAGCATACGCCGTTCCCACTATCACGAACAACCTTTCTCTCGTCTACTTCCGCCACGTTATTGGCATAGTCATCTAACGCAACGGGGATGGGAGATCCTCGCCCGCGGCTGACACGGCGCACTTAACCGGGGGTCGTGGAATTGTGATACCGATCTCTTGCAGCTGGTCGGCATTCCGGCCTGGGTCCTCGAGTCCGTAGAAGCCTTGCTTCCACCTCGTCCGCTCGACGACGCGGAACCCCCCGGGGCGATCGGCCGCCGTCTCGGAGCTTCTTCTGTTTGCCTTCAGGAGCGTCTCTCCAGACAATAGATCTGCCAAATCAACCGATGGCATCGTCATAGACGCAATTTCATAGGCCATCCGCAACGGAAAATGAACAGCAACTCCCGGAGGCCTGCTGTCCGCCGCTCCGTCTTGACCCATCTCGACTGCCGCCTCGGCGCCAATGTCGGCCCATATGTCACGATCTCCCTACAACAGGCCTTCGCCCGTCCATAGTCATTCCCGTCTTAAAGTCAAGTCGCTCGAGGCATGCGGCACTGGTCGGGGCCGACCCGCCACCCCGCATGACGAACAGAACCAGGGTAAGTACCAAATCCAATCCCAGGGCCCGTCCTGGGCTGCTTAATGCGAGATCCAGGGGGCGAAAGCTACCTCACGGCAGAGCCGCATGGCACCAGAGACCCGTCACATGAAGTTCCATGCCTCTTCTTCCACGCAGATCCGCCCGCGACTCTTTCCTGCGCATTGTAGCGCGAGCAGAAGTTGGGCACCGCGCGTGCCCAGCATGGAGCTGGCAGCCCTGCCGTCATGAGTAGGGTTCGAGCCCCGTCTTGCACGATAGCGCTGGCCCGCCCCGCGAGGGGGACGCGCCGAGCAACCACGATTGCAACGACATCGCTGCCGCCGAGCTCCTGAGACCGACTTCGATACGCGCGCGCCAGAAGAAGCACGCTGTACCTACGATCCAGTGCACGCCGCAGTCGTCGACGGTGTCAATGCCGCCCTTCATCCAAACATTCGGGCCGGCAACCCAGTCTTTATCGGAGGCGCATCACCGGGCTACCTCGTCGTGGCATCAGGGAAGCAGACCTTGGCACCAAAGAGAGATGGCTGGGGCACTTGTGGCCATGCTTGAGGCGGTGGCACCAGCGCATGGTGGTCCAGCGGCGGCGGCGGGTGGAGCTCGGGAGCTTGGGGCTCGGCCCGTGCAATCGAGGGTGGCTTCTCTAGCCCAGACTCCTCTCCATGGTCTGATCTTCGCGGCCACGATGTCTGCCCGATGCCCGCGCCGGAGGATCGCGGCGGCTGCGAGGGTGCAAGCCTAGGAGGGGGTCCACCGTCGACGAGGCTGGCAAGGAGGCCGCATCGCTCTCCGACGAAGAGGCCACACTGCGCGAGAGCATCGACGCAAGCCGGGCAGCTCGGAAGTGGGAGCGTCGCGAGATGACGAGCGCGCTGGGCATGTCATTAATGGGCCATGTGAGCATGTGCTAAGTGCTGACGGCGCAGTGGCGCCGCCTGTCGAACGGCACCGCCTCGCGGGCAAGCAGAGCGTCGCGAAGAAGCCCGACGTCGCGGTCCCAGGGCGCCCCAAACCCACCATGGGCAACGCAGATTACACGCCCCCAGTCACGATCTACAAGGGCTCGAAGATCTACGACTCACACAAGAAGCACTTGTACAGGTGCATCCGCGATGCGAGGAGGCCTGCCGCCACGCGAAGCAATAGACACTGCCGCTCCTCCAGCCCCCCCTCCACGAGACCCAGCGTGGTGGCCGAGCTGGGCCCCGGCTCCAAGCGATCCTTGTAGTCCCAGAACCTCCAGTTCACACGCTGAGTTCAATCCCAGAACGTGAATCTGCCGTTCACGCTGTCCGTCGCCCACCCATTGCATGGCCATCGTGAAGTCCAGGTCCCTGAGGCTCTCGATGGGCTCACGCGAGTTGGCGCACTCCCCAGGCTTGCGGCTCAAGCCCACATGGGTAGAAGCCCCCCAGCAAATGGGCGCCCCCGCCTTGTTGCAGGGAGCGTGGGCCACCGATCGCGTCTCCTCGGCTGTAGCAAACGGCTTCGGGCTGGGTGGGCCTTGGCTGCCTGGGACTCACCGCCGCCGCCAGCTGCCGCCTTGCCCCAGCCGCCCGCCGCCCCCGCCAGACCCCTGGGCCCCGGCTCTTCGGCCGGGCCCCGGCTCGCCCCTGCGGCCGTCAGTCCCACCTTGGGTCCCTTGGCCGAGCGCTCGCGCCGAGGGGCGTTCAGTCGATTGAAGAGCAGCCGCTTCATGGCTGCCTAACGCCGCGGGGCCACCAGTCGCTGGCAATCGGCATCTGGATCGCTCAAGTCGAATGCGCTGGGTAGCCGATAGCTGCTGCCGGGCGCGAGCAACACCATATCTCCACGTCCACCTTGCACAGGTGGTCGCCGTTAAGCACCTGGCGCATACGGCGTCGGAGCTCGCGCAGTTCCTCGACCCAAGTGGTCCGCAGCTCCTCCCTTAGATCCCGCGCCGAAGTGTCCGGGAAGCACCCGGATTGCTTTACTTGGCCTGTTCCAGTTGGGCAAGCGCCGCTCGCCGGTCTCTTCCGCGCTCGACTCCCGGCGCCGAGCAGAACGTCATACTTTCGCCCCGTGCTCGGTGTAACCATGTGGCCATGTTGGAGACAGGCCGCTGGCGCGCTTCTAGCATGTCATCGTCGGGGAGCGGGTAGCTGTCAAAGCCTTCTTCGTCGCGAGCAGGGATGCACCGCGACGCTGATATCGCGGGGGCCTCTCCCGAAGGACAACGCGGCGAAGCCATGGGAGATCCGATCGGTCACGATCGCGGGCCACGCCTTCAGCGTGCTCTTGGACTTGGCGCACATCCGCTCCAGCGAGTCCATCAGGCCTCGTCCAGCGAGGGCCACGCAGGCCTCCGCCTCCAGAGTGTTGCGCCCCTCGCTAGGTGCACATCCAGCTCGTCGTCCCGACCGATCCCAGCCAGGGTGCCACGCGGTTTGTGCTCGCCCTCGGCTGCGCGGGCGGCTCGCTCCGTCGCGTGGGCGTTCTGCTCGATAGCTCGCGCGATCTCTGACGCACCGACGCCCAGGGAGGCACCGCCGCCATCCGGGCCCCCTGCGCGTTCGCCTCCGGGGTCGCCCCCCCGCAGCAGGCGCCCTGGGCCTCGGCTGGATCCGCCCCCCGCCAGCATGCAGGGGGCTTCGGCCCGTGTCAAATGATCCGTCCTCGACGCATCGGGCCCTGGCCCCGGGAAGCCAGCAACCCCCGCGGCCGGCGCCGGCCCGGGCCCGCGCCAAATCGATGCCGCGTCGGCTCGCGGTCTCCTCGCGGCGTAAACTCCCTCCGACAAGACGATCGGCTCCGAGAACTGGCGCGCGGGAAAGGCGCCTCCGCTGCCCCCAGGTCACCGTCTCGCCTCGCGGCCCTGCCTCGCCGAGCCTGGCTGAGCTCCGCCAGGGCCTGCTGGACGTCGGCCCCAACTGCTCTGGCGGCGGCCTGGCGCGCCATTCCCCAGCGGCAGTCGCTGCTTGGTCCAGGGTCACCTCCATGACCTCGGCCACCGCCCCAGGCGCCGCGAGGTGGTCGGCGCCGCCGCGCAGCGCCGAGATGTCGACCGGGCCCCGCGCCCCGTCCTCTTCAGGGTCGGGGGGCGGCCCTGGCTGCGGCGGCAGCGGGCGCGGGCGGGGCAGGTCCCCCTCCGTGCTCTCATAGATAGATGCCCTGGCTCCCCCGCGATGGTTGCGACCCTATATGCGCCTCGCATCCCGCTGTAGCAGGCCTCGCTGCGCGGGGCTGAGATGCCGCCGGCGGCGGCCCCCGGCGGCGTTCGCCTCTGCGCCGCCCCGCTGATGCATGCGAATCTGACCCACGAACTCGCAGGGGATGCGGTGCGCCGCGACGCGCGCGCCCAGCTCGCTCATGCCTATCGGGACTTCGCAAGGCAAGCGGTCGATCCAATCGGCGTCGCACCGCCCCTCGCGGACGGGGCCGGGGCGCCGAACGATATCTGGCGCCTGCGCCTCAACCTGCATGCCCTCCAGGCTTGCCCCGATGATCGCGAGCGTGTCGCCGGAGGGCCCGCGGGTCTCGACGCCCTCGCGCAAGCCCAAGAGGAGGTGCCAAGGCGGGGCCCCCGACTCTGCGCGACCCCCGAAACTCGCACAGAAATTTGCCATTGCTGTGCCACTAGTCCATCGGCCGCGCGCCCCCTTCCCGCCGACCTCGAGCAACCCCCGCTCTCGGGCTCAGCGGACCTCGGCCGTCGACGCGCGGGCGTGGGAGGCGAGGCCGCCCGGCCGCCAATTGGCGGGACCCATCCAGCGGGGGCGACCGTCGCAGCCCTCGGCCTCCGCCCCGGCGCCCGGCGATACCTCCCCAAAGGTCGCTCCTCGCGTCGACGGCGCCGCCGCTGCTGGGGTGCATGCTGTAGGCGGAACTCGCGGCGGTAACCCCCGTTCCCGCGGGTTGTGGCCGACGCCCCTGCGGCTGGGATGCCCAATCCTTCGCCGGTCCCGGGCTGGTCCCCCCTTAGTAAACGCTTCCGCAAACCGCGTGATAGACCCTGGCGGCCTGGCGGATCGCAGCCTCCATCCGCAGCGGGGGGCCGCTGCCGTTGCCCAGGCGCTCGCCGCGCGCGGGGGCGCCGCGGCAATTCCCGTGGGCCACCCGCTGGCGCGTCGGAATATTGCATTTGCGCCCCAGTAGCGTCGACCGGTACTTCTGCGCGCGACGGGCGCACGGGCAGACCTGCGCCACCCCCCGGCCCGCGGCGCAGGTGTGTCGGGCGCGGCCGCGCCCTCCGCCGGCGGAGCCGCGGGTTCCATGAGCCCCCGATGGATCCGAGCGCCCCTCCGGCTGTAGCGGTTGGGCTCCGCTCGCCAGCTGCGCGCCTGCCCTACGGCGCGACGGGGCGTCGCTGCCCCGTGCTCTCCGAGATCAGCGATCTGCGCGTGATCGACGGCGGCGAACTGGTCAACGTGCACCGGGTGCGCTGCCATGCGCGCTGTCCGACAGAGGTGCACCCTGCCGGTAGCTTCAAAGTTAGCTCTCCAGAACCGGCTGGCGCAACCCAGCACCTGATCGACATGCGCCGTCAGGCCGCGCCGATCGTGGCGAGGCTTCGACAGGGCCCCACCGGGGCACGCTGCTGCACTGAAGTTGCAGGGCACTCGTGCCACCTGCCCGTGCTTGCGCAGCAGCAGGTGGTTCGTGGCTTGGTTAGCGCCTCGTCCGCGGACCCCCTATTGTAGTCAGCGGTCTCAATGTCGCCGCCTACTCCGGGCCCGCGGAACCGCACCCGCTGGGGGGTAGGCGGGGGCGGGGGGAAGGTCGCCTCCGGCCCTGCGGGCCGTCGGCGGCAACGCGCTGCAAGCTGTCCCAGCGCCCAGGCTACCCCAGCATAGCTCGAGGCCGGTGGCACCATCACCGCGTTGATGCAGTAGGCGGCGGTACCCAACAGGTTAACATGGCCATCATCATGCACAGCACGGCTGCGCCCCACCAGTAGCCCAAAAGGTTCACGCCCAGGCTGTCAACCGCGGCTCCTACCCACCCCCAGCTTTGCCTGAGCGCGCCGATCCACGCCGTTCAGCCCGTGACCGAACGGCCACCACCCACTGCCCCGGCTCGTCTGCACGCCGCCGATGAGGATCACCTTTGCGCGCGCTATGAGCCCCCGGGGCCCCGTCGCCGCGCGGCCCCCCCACCACCCGACGCGCGGGCGAGGCTTTCGGACGGACGCGGCCCACTGGCACAAAAGTCTACAGAGACCAAAATGGAACCCCCAAAAGTTCCCACTCCCGCTGCACATAACCTGCAGTCTCAACGGACAGAGTATGCAAAATGTTTCTCGCCGCTCGTCCTTCGCCTAGGCCTCCTCCCGTCGCGTTTTTACTGCGACGTCGGAAATCTGCGTGGGGGCCAGACCCTCTGACCACTGGACCTCTCGTAGCGGCCCCTGGACCTCTCGTAAAGGCTGCATGAGGACTCCCGGGTCGCGTGCGGGCACGCCCGCTGGGTTCGTCGGTGACCGCCCCGCTTCCCCAGGTGGGGCCACGAAGCGTGAGGGGTGTGCCGACATGAGTCTGGCGGACGCATGTGGCCACCCCCACTGGGACCTTCGGTGGAGCTCCCTGTGGGGCCACGAAACATGTGAAGGGTGTGCCGAAACGAACGGTTGGGACGCATGCGGGCGGCGTCACTGGAGCCTTCGGTGGAGCTCCCTATGGGGCCACGAAGCGTGTGCGGGGTGTGCCGACATGAGCGGCTGGGACCCATGATGGCGGCGCCACTGGGGGTGTCCCGAAATGAACGGCTGGGACGACTGCGGGCGGCGCCACTGGGCCCTTCAGTGGAAATCCCGATGGTACCATGAAACATGTCAAGGGTGTGCCGAAATAGGCGGCTGGGACGCACGCGGGCGGCGCTGCGGGGGCCTTCGGTGGACCTCGCTATACGGCCACGAAACGTGTGAAGGGGTGTGCCGAAATAAACGGCTGGGGCGCATGCGGGAGGCGCCGCGGGGGCCTTCGGTGGACCTCGCTAAACGGCCACGAAACGTGTGAGGGGTGTGCCGAAATAGACGGCTGGGGCGCATGCGGGCGGTGCCACTGGAGCCTTCGGTGGGGCTCCCAATGGGGCCACGAAACGTGTGAGGCGTACTGGGACGAATGCGGGCGGTGCCACTGCGACCTGCGGTGGAGCTCCCTATGGTGCCACGAAACATGTGAGGGGTGTGCCGAAATGAGCGGCTGGGACGCACGCGGGCGGCGCCACTTGGGACTTCGGTGGAGTTCTTTATGGGGCCACGAAACGTGTGAAGGGTGTGCCGAAATCAGCGGCTGAGACGCGTGCGGGCGGCGCCTCTGGGGCCTACGGTGGGGCTCCCTAGGGACCGCGAAGCGTGAGGGGTGCCGACATGAGCGCCTGGAAAGCATGCGGGCGGCGCCACTGGGCCCGTCGGTGGGGTTCCCTAGAGGGCCGCGAAACGTGTGAGGTCCGTGCCGAAAGGAACGGCTGGGACGCATGACGGCGTTGCCAGCAGGGCCTTCGGTGAAGCCCCCTGATGGGGCCACGGAACATGTGAGGGGTATGCCGAAATGGTTGACTGGCGCGGAGAGCAGAGGCAGGGATGGGAGGAGGAGAGAGGAGGACGGAGGAGAGGAGGAAACGCGGGGCGCTGTCTCTTCAGAACGACGGCCCAACACCACAGGTTGGTTTGGAAATCTCTTGGCGAACGGCCCAACCATATGCAATTGTGGGTACAGCATTATGAGTGCAGCTTTCAATGGAGCTCCCTATGGGGCCACAAAGCGTGTGAGGGGTGTGCCGAAATGCGGCGGGCCGCCATGCGAACCTTGCCTCTTGGGCCTTAGGTGGAGCGGGCCACAAAGCGTATGAGGGGTGTGCCGAAATGGGTGCGGCGGCCGCCATGCGAACCCCGCCACTGGGGCCTTTTGCCAGGCTCCCTATGGGGCTACGAGACGTGTCAGGGGTGTGCCGAAATGGGCGGTGCCGCCATGCGAACCCTGTCACTGGGGCCTTCGGTGGAGCTCCCTGTAGGGCCACGGAACGTGTGAGGGGTGTGCCGAAATGAGCGGCTGTGCCGGCATGCGAACCCTGCCATTGGGGCCTTCGGTGGAGCTCCCTGTGGCCAAAGCGCGTGAGGGGCGCGCCGGCATGGGGCGGGGCCGCCATGCGAACCCTGCCATTGGGCCCTTTTGCCGGGCTCCCTATTGGGGGGGGGGGCACGAGGCGTGTGATGGGTGAAACGAAATGGGGCGTGGACGCCATGCGAACCCTGCCACTGGGGCCTTCGGTGGACCCCCTTCTGGGGCCACGAAACGTGTGAGGGATGTGCCGAAATGGGGCGGTGCCGACATGCGAACCCTGCCATTGGGGCCTTTCGTGGAGCTCCTGAGGGGGCCCACGAAACACGTGAGGGGTGTGCCGAAGCTGATGGCGGTGACGATGACGATGACGATGACGATGACGATGACGATTACGGTGACGATGACGACGATGACGATGACGATGATGATGCTGATGATGATGCTGCTGATAGTGATGATGCTGCTGATGATGATGCTGCTGCTGATGATGATGACAATGATTATGATAATGATGATGCCCCTGCTAATGATGATGCTGCTGATGCTGATGATGACGATGATGATGAGAACGGTGATGACGATGCGACGATACCGGTTATGATGATGGTGATGATGATGGCGACAATGGTGATGGTGATGGCAATGATTGTTGATGGTGGTGATGACACGATGATGGCGCGATGGTGATACTGATGACGGTGATCATGATGATGGTGGTGATGATGATGCTGATGTTGATGATACTGATGGTGATGCTGACGATGATGATGCTGATGATGATGATGACGATGATGCTGGTCATGGTGATGGCGATGATGATGGTTATGGTGATGGTGATGACGCCAATGGTGATGGGGATGGCAATGATTGTGATGATGATGACACGATGATGACGCGATGATGATAATGGAGACGGTAATGATGCTGATGCTGATGCTGATGCTGATGATGATGACGATGATGATGGCAGTGATGATGATGATGGTGGTGATGATGATGATGCTGCTGATGATGCTGCTGCTGCTGCTGCTGCTGCTGATGATGATGATGATGATGATGATGATGATGATGATGATGATGATGATGATGATGATGATGACGAGGGGGGGCGGCGTAGGAGGAGGAGGAAGAGGAGGAGGAGGAAGAAGAGGTGGAGGAGGAGGAGGAGGAGGAGAGAGGAGGAGAGGAGGAACGCGGGGCATGTTCTTCAAAACGAGGACCCAACACCACAGGATGGTTGGGAAAGAATGGGGTTGGAAAGCGAAGAAGCCTCCGAGAGGCTCACAGGCCCACCCGTCCAGCGAAGGAGGGGAGGGGGCTCAATCTCATATGCTGTTGGGCAGAGAAACCCTGGATCGCAGATGCCCCCTCCCCCATTCGACATACCGCTAACCCAGATCACCGTCGGCATCGACCGCCTTTCTTGCCATTCAACCAATTGTAGCACCCACGTGTGGTTCCCTTTTGAAACGCCCATGTGCTACACAAGCTGCATCGCAAGAACCATGGAGATGCAGACAGGACAAGGGGCCGACTTGCACCAGGGCGTCAGGAAGCCACTCGGACGACGTGCAGAACAGGATGTTTTGTCTGGGCGCAACGCACAGTGCTTGGAAAGCCACCCTGAAGGAAACCGAACCACCAATGCATTGCTGAACTGGAGTCGGCGGCAGAGGCGTCAGCCTTTAAACATGATGGTCTGCGCACGTAAACTTACTCTGGAGCCAAGGACGACT